AGGGTGTGGGCTCTGCACAGGCCGGCCCAGCCGCCAGCAGCAGAGCCGGGATGAGGCACCAGACCCCGCACTGCCCGCTGGAGGGAGCTACTGACCCCATACTCGGGCGGTCCTGCCAGGGACACGCTTTTCCTGGGTGAGGTCTGTGGAAGCCGGGCCCACAGCCAGGGCACACCTGCCTACCTCTGCCTCTGCAGGTGCTGGAGCACCTCCCTGCGTGGACTGGGCATTTATTTTCCAAAACGTGGAATAAAGGAAAGTAACTCCAGCAGGAGACAGAAGCCCTAGCACTTAGCCCTACTGCGAACGAGGACCCCACTGCTGCCTACGGCCGTCCCGAGGCCCCAGGCAGGGCATGCGCACACTGCGCACCCTCACGTGGCCTGCTGTCTGGAGCCACGTGCCCACCACGCCGGCCGGGAGTACAGGCAGGGAGCTGGAGCTCCCAGGAGCGAGGGCGCGGAGGGCGCGGAGGGGCTGACCGGCACCTGACACCACTCTGCGCCCAGAAGCCCGGCACCAGCCGCAGAGCCCAACTTTACCGGGCGCCTCCCACCACCTGCCCGGCAGGGGGTGCCTGGCGTCCGCTCCTTCATCAGAAAGTGCCACCAGGATGCATGGCTGCCGGCGAGCTGCCCGATAGGGCCTGGGGTGAGGCCCAGGGGAGCAGGACTTGTCCCCAGAGCTCACACGGCCTGTGATGTGGAGGCTGCTGGCTGGGAGGGAGGGGGTGCAGCCACCCAGCAGGATCACAGCAGAGGCCGGGTGGGGCTGGCCTGGGCTTCCTCAGGGAGCACCTCCACCGCCTCCCACCCCCAGCCCCAGTGGGTGAGGGAGGTGTGCACTGAAAGTGACGCTGCTCTAGAGCGGCCACAGGGAGGGCGGGAGGCCTGGGCTGGGAGAGGCCCTGTTTGCAGAGGTGGACAGTCCCAAAGGGCAGCCACGGCTGGAGCTGCGCAGAGGCCCCTGAGGCCGAGTGAGCCCCAACCACCGCCTGTCCACAGGCTGAGCCGGCCAGGCCCTGCAGAGCCAGGGGCTCAGGGACAGACGGAGGCGGGCCCCAGAGCCGCTGTCCCCGAGGAGCCCCCTTCCTTCCCCGGGGGAAGCCCACATCCCCACCGCGCAGGGTCAGAGCCTAAACTGCCACTGGACTTATTACCCCGACGATTAAAAATAAAAGGGTAACTCACGGAGGAAACTGCCTTTCCCTTTGCTAAAACCAATGAGTTTCCCACAATTTTTAAAAAAATATATTTTATTGATTTTTTACAGAGAGGAAGGGACAGAGAGTTAGAAACATCGATGAGAGAGAAACACCGATCAGCCGCCTCCTGCACACCTCCTACTGGGGATGTGCCCGCAACCCAGGTACATGCCCTTGACCGGAATCGAACCCGGGACCCTTCAGTCTGCAGGCCGACGCTCTATCCACTGAGCCACACTGGTTTCAGCAGAGTTTCCCACAATTTTTAAAGAAACCTTTTATTTTGAAACAAGTGGCGGGTGCATGGATTCGTGCACATTGACAGGAAATCAATTAGAAGAAATATTTTTTTTAATAGACTTCTCTCTTGCTTTTTACAAGCAACCTCAGAACTAAGCAATTCTTGGAATTACAACGATTTACAACCCAGGTAAGAGCAACTGATAGACAGAAATTTTTGTTAGTAAAGTGGGCTGATTCCTTCTGTAATGGTGAGCAAAAGACTCTGCGAACTGCTAGAGACTCTTGCAGCCCATCGCAGGT